CACGCAGAGAAAAGATTAGCCAACAGAGCTAAAATTTAGCAGTGACAGCTAAAATGTGTCTTTGAAATAGGGACAGCTAATGTTGTTGCTGCCACACCTCAATTTATTAGCTCTTTGAATTTAGATACTGCAGCAAAAAATATTAGCTGTTAGAAACAAGTAATATTTAGCTGTATATATTCAGCTATTTAGCTTTAGCAACAGTACGTAAAATACTTGCAGTGATGCTAAGAATATTAGCCAAAATTGCATGTGTCTTGGTGGTGGTGCTAAATGACCTTAGCTGCTATAACAATAAATTTTGTAATGGCAGCAATGCAGTATTAACTAAAATTTAGCACCACCACCTAGATACATGCAATTTTGGTTAATATTCTTAGCATCATTGCTACATTTACATATACATATACATGCATACACACATTTTAATTACAACACAATGGCTATGTCAAAAATTTTTAAACATTCTGTATGTATATATTTGTATATATCTTATGGTAAAAGCTATTTAATTGTCCTTGTTAAAACAAAAAAAATATCAGGTCTAGATAAGAATGATAGGATTAAAAGAAAATATACATTATATTACACAAATATTATAAATGTATTGTCATAAACGATAATGGAAAGAAACATTTATATTAAAAAGAAATAAACACAGAAGTAAGTAAAAATGGCTCGTATGACAAAATAAAAAAATAAAAACATGAGGGGCTCAGAGCAAGATGTTAGTGTTCAATTAATATTTAATAATATATATATAATAAATTAAATAAATATTATATATATTATTAAATATTAATTGAACACTAACATCTTGTTCTGGCTCTGAGCCCCTTATGTTTTTATTTTTTAAACACAGAAGTTCGCAAAGTTCATGTCAAAGGATATGAAGTAGAATGTAACAATGAAAATGAATGGTTACTGAACTTGTTGATTACCAACCAACCAAAAATATAAATATTTTAGTAGTAAGTATCATGTAACAATCATAGTAAAATAAACATATTTTTATTTTTAATTTATCAGTCTCACAAAAAATACTTTAAAACAATGTAACGTTCTCCATTTGCCATTTGATACATGTAAAGTGGTTGGTAATCAACAAGTTCAGTACCTTTTATGCAAAACCATTTATCATTTTCATTGTCACATTCTACTTCATACCCTTTGACATGAGAATTTAATCCTATATTAAATAAAGGTGAACATATAAACAAAGGTTCACCTTCATGTAATAAAATAATTTTTATAAGTCCAAAGCATAAATCTCCAGAACTATCTGTTCCCGTAATAAGAGCAAATCCAAGTTTATATCGAACATTTTTCCATTCTATCCAGTTCATACAATAATTTTCAGAATTCATTTTCAGAGAATTAGGGAGTGATAATTTGAAGAACGAATACTGAGGAAATTCTGAAAGCTTTTTACTTTTTCCAGGCCCTCTAAGAAGGCAAGATAGAATGCTACACTGTGTTGTAAATCTATAGCACAAACTCAGCTGAAATTTGATAGCAAGAGACAAGAGAAGATTTTTTCTTGATTCTGTTGCAGTGCAATATGCTTTCAAACGTTTATGCATAGCTTCAAAACGCATGCAGGATACATTTGCAAACGGTCCCATGTAATTAAATATTCTGGCATAGTGCAAAAGAAAATGATGTTTAGGTTTCAATTTTTCTCCGGTGATTCTAAGGTATAACTCATTGTGCTCTTTTGTTAAAATTTGTAAAACATATTTTATATCCGATGGAAGTCTTTTTGCCTGAATTATGCTAAAGATATCATGTAATAATAGATATAATTGCCAGAACTCATCATTTTCATGAACTAGATCGCCAATAAAGATTCCAAACAAACGTACGAGTACACTCATTTCATTTGCTGTCATTTTCAATTTACTCTTTTCTAACATTTCAAGAGTTATACAACGTGGCTTATTTAGACTGTCATAAGGACCATAATCAAACATATTTATTCTGCAGTTGAGCGTTTCTATAAATAAGGGATCTAATTGTGAAAAGTGTTTCAAGATAGGAATCATTGAGTAGTGTCCTATACCTTCCAAACAGTCGTGCATTCCATCAACAAAAGGCATTTCTATAATATCTATCGATGGTACGACATTAAAAATACACTCTTCTTTAATTCCAGTCAGACTTGCATTTTCTGCACTTAAGTCATTTTGGTAGCTTTCAGAAGTTCTTAACAAAGTTAAGTCTTCAGTGCACTGGACCTCGGTCAAAAGTTTTGATGCTTTACAAAAACGGCACATAAATTTAGCAGAAAAACTTTCAACTAATCCACACATGGAGTGAATACCAAGATTATCTCCAGTCAAAATACTGGTAGCAAAATAAACTCTCTTATTCTCTTTCATTGTATTTATTTCTATCCCTTCAGTTTCTAAAAAAATGAGTTCATTAATCAATGGAGCAAATGTTTTCCTATTACCAAAATTCTTTCTATCATTACTATGAAACAGAAGAGCTAAAAAGATATTATCCAACTTGGATTGGCATTCTGGGGGCAGACAGGGTACTGTTACATACACTGCACCTATCTTTTCTAAATGTGGTCCCAGAGGGTTATTAGGTTCCCAGTCATCATAATAAATTAGAAGTGGAAACACTATATCCGACTGTTTAAAGTATTTAGTGGTTACAGATCGCCATCTTTCACATTGTATAAAATTATATATCATATTTGGCTCCGTTTGTAGTTGCTGCATGTATTGTATTGTACTATTGAAAGCATCAGGAAGCTCAAAAAATTTCTTTAGAACTTTTCTAAGTGAAATGTACTGTGCAGTTACTGGTTTCATTTGCAGTTTTACACCATTTTTTGTATTTTTCTTCTCTATACAAGAATCAATGTAGTAAGTTTCAGGTGGTATATATGCGCCTGTAGATTTAAAATACTTTATGCGTTTGTATTCTGTGGATAGATGGTGGAATGGATTACTCAGAGATTTAAACATGTCTTGAATGCTGTTAATATCTTCCGCCTTTGCGTGACAAGTTGAAAGTGTATTTAATACTTTTTGCTCCAAAATGTTAAGGAAACTTCCACTGAGAAAACTACAAATATTTTCGATTATAGACTCAACCTGATTACGTGGGAGACCTGGTTTTGTATTAATTTGAGATATAAGAATATTAGCATGTTTTTCCAACATAGTATAAAAATCTGAAGGTGATATGTTATCAAATAATTCTGTTTCATGGAGAACATTTGTTTCAAAAAAAGTTTCAGTGTGTGTCTGATCGTAAGAGTCTACAGAATCTATTTGTATTACATTATTAGAATTGTCAAAGCGATTGGGCATATCATGGTTTTTGCTCAAGTGTTTTCTAAACGAATTCCACACATTAAATGAACGTCTACAAGTGTCTATATTGCATCTGAAATATGTACATGTTGGATGTTTTATAGTGAAATGAATTTGAAGAGCATCAATGCTTTCAAAATATTCATTACAACTATTTTCATGACACTTTATAAGAACCATGTTAGTATAAATGAATGCAGCACATACAAAACATACAGCAACAGTTTTGCAATATTATAAATTTAAACTTAAATACTAATAATACTATATATGTTAATCTTATGTCAATTTTATATTCAACTACATATCACATGTTAAACGTTCTCACAGAGCGTATAATTAAACTAAACATTATTACACATTGTAAGTATTGCAACAAAAAAACGATATTGAATAATACTTTAACTTAAAATAGAAATTAAACAGTTCGCTTTTTTAAAGAAACAAGAGTTTTAGAGAATTTGAAAAATAATTTGTTTTATATTTTACTTATTAATAAAAAAAGATTACTTTTAATTAATCACTTCATAACGCAAGGATAGCTTAACATGCTATAACTCAACTTTACTTACTTAACTGTCAGCCTTAATCTTTAGGTACTCTTCTATTAAACCTAGTACTGTAAGATTACAAATATCTTTGTCGCTTGGTGTAGAGATTTCGTATATACATCGTTGCAAAAATAGCCATTCCCTGGCACATTCACTTGGGTAGTTGGTATCTAACGCATATGTTGATTTGAACGCTATATCAATTGCTTTTAATGCAGTCTCCACCTCGTAACATATGTCATTAATAATTATATAGGAATGCTTAATGTAATCCAACTGTGCACCAACAATTACGGCTTGCACTCCCAAAGTAAGTCCATACTTTGCATATTTTTCTCTCCTCAACTTCAATGTGGGTTCAATGTCATTTGTAGTCTACAAATATAATATATTTGTCAAAATTTTGTATTAATATTATTCAATATTTAAATTTGTATGAAAAAAGATTCTTATATTTAAGTATGAAGTAGAGGAAACTCTCTTTATCAGTGTGAAACAGGTCACAAAGAACTCAAAAGTTATTAGTTACATTTACATACTCTTAACAGATACATTCTCTACAGTAAACAATTTTTTTATAGCAATGATAACATTGCAATTATCTAATCTATTTACAGTTCCGAATGCATTATCCGTTAAGATTTCTAAATCAGTCGGACTAATTAATATCTATGCAAGCTAGATTTTCATACAAAATTATCAATTCTTTATCAGTTAATTTAACTCCATATGTTAAAAAGATTTTACTTTTATAAAATATACTAACCTTCACAAAAAGTAAAAATGCCTCACGTGACTCTTGGCGCGAAGGTCGCCAACTTATTTTCTTTCTTTTTAAAGTAGTCACTACTGTGAATAACGAATTTATAGCAAGCAGTGTTCTTACTTTTTTACCTTCTGAAATTATTTCAGTTTACATTAGACTTAGGTTAGGTTAGGTTAGGGTTAAATTAGGTTAAGTTAGATTAAACCAACGGCACGCGAAACTATTTTTCCTACTAGATTACTTACGTCAGCTAATCAGGATTTAGTTTTAAGTTGCCTGATCTAAAACTCTGCATCCTTATTGGTCTTGTAAGCAATCCAGTAAGAAAAATGATATCGGGTGCCGTTGGCTTAAGATTAGCTTATATTAGAATCTATTTAAAACATTTTGAAACGCCGTATAATTATAATCTTTCTTTGGGCGATTATGAATATAGTAAGATAGACCGAGCATTTACCTTTATTTGAGGAGTAACGGTATAAGACAAAGACGGTTATATAACAAACTGAAAGAAACCTGAGAGCAGTGCTGTCCGAGAGCGG